GGGAAAGGGGGGTTCAAAAATCGTTCTCTAGGACGGACCCTATTTTTTATACACTTACACTTAATTTTTGAGGTAAAAAAATATTTATATAAAGAAGACATTTCTAATGACCAGAATATTTTATGAATTTTATTTGCAAATGCGAAGGCTGCGTAGAGAGAGGCGAGAATCTGATAAATGGAATAAAACGGTTTCAGAAAATGCCACTCTATCACTAAACAGGAACTACAGGAACAGCATTTAAAAAAGTGAAAACAGAATTTAGATGTTTTTCATATGCCAATACAATTTTACTTAAGCCTTAAGCGATTCCCAACGTTAGAATTTTAAACTAAATCCTGAAATGAATGTGAAAAACTGGTTTTCTAAACTAAAATAAGTTATGTCATTTTGTTGCTCGTCTTTGACTAAAGAAATCCGTAAGCTGATTTAGGATTTTGATTTAAAATTTTTCTCCCAATTTTTTACTAAATGACTGTTTTCGAACTTTAGGCAGAGGCGAAGTAACTTTGACTTTCTTCCAGAAGGAACTACTTTCAGTGTAAGCTTTTTATTCTATTTGCATGTTTACAAAGGAATTGAGTCTTTGCCACAAAACCCAATTTTCTAATACCTATATCTCTAAAACCAGATGGCATAAACCTTTGGTATTTCAAACTTTGATTATTTGATCCATGAGAATTCATAGTTTGAAATATCTAGGGTCTACAACATTGGGTTCAAGATATAAAGGGATTAAAAAAATAAGAATTTATGGCAATGACTCAAGGGTGATCGTGAGGTGTATCGATCAATGTTAGGTACTTTTCCAAAGGATTCTTCTCAAGTGGCAACTTCCCAAGGGTATTTTCCCAAATGGCAACTTCCCAAATGTGCAATTTCCCAAGCGACAACTTCCCAAGTATGTCCTAGCCTCAGCGTTCGGCCCCTCCTGCGGCGCTCAGAGGGCCTAACCTAATCTTTGGAAAGTTGCCGCTTAGGAAATTGCACATTTGGGAAGTTGCCACTTGGGAAATTATCTGTTGGCTNGGTAGATATGGTGATGTACAAACAAATTCATTTTTCTCATAATTATCATGGGTCTACACCAATAAAATATAATATATTAAAAAACAAATTAAACAAACGAATATCATAAAACAACTTAAATTAATAAATTAATAATCAGTTTAAACAAACAAACAGCTCAAACAAACAAAAAACATAAACGAACATACAGCAAAAAAAAGAAAACAAAGAACAAGCAAGTAAAAAAAATAAATATAAAAGAGAGTATTATATCTAAATATTCTACTGAGAATAACATAAATATTTGTGTCTGTAAAACTTCTACTTGGTAAAAGTAATGAAAATCAATTACTGGTGTTTATAATAATATTTGTTTACATTTTCTTTTTTATAAAAAGAAAATTGTTGAAAAACGTTAAAATATTACTAATTACGTGTCTAAACTGAAAGTGACTGTATAAGCGTAATTTCAATAACCCATTCGCCACGGTACCCTTAAAACCTTTATCTGATAAGTATTGTGGAAGATATTGTCGTTTTTTCTTGTTGTAAAAGTGTTTAATTCTGATCATTTCTGTATGCTTTCCTTCAGACATACCTGTAAGGATACCGTTATGAATCGGGCTTTGCAATTTTGCCATGTCTTTGCATGGCAGATCATCTGAAATTGCGCTTACTTTAACAAGGACTATAAAAATGCAGCAAACTAGACCAGTATTCGATCCTACTCTCTAAATCATTCATTTTAGTCCAAGAATTAAGACTTTTGCAAATAAATGATAAAATTCAAAATGGATTTCGATTTGAATAATCTTTTATGATATTAGGGGTTGGGGGGGGGGGGGATGTTTTGAACTGGTTTGGATCTGCAGGTAGTAAGTACTCTAGTATAGTTGATCCATGAGTATAGTAGGCTTGGATCTGCAGGTAGTAAGTACTTATAGTATAGTTGATCCATGAGTATAGTAGGTTTGAAAGAAAAATCAGGTTTTCTGATTAGAAAACAAGATTAGGATCTGACCTGACCATTCTCTAACTGTCAAAATATTCACAAGGAGAGAAACTCGCTTTAAAGATATTTTTTAAATGTTAAAAAAAGAAAAAAAGTTAACCCTTTAGATAAATATTACTATCAGCATTTTTTTCGCTCATTTGTTCCAAAAAATATAAAGTTTAAATTATCTAATCTTAAGTTCATACAACATGACAAAAAATCAGATTTAGAATAATCGAATAAATAATTGAATTGCTTTATTTATCTCACTTGTCAATATACAAAATAACTATAAATGTATATAGTAATCCAAAAACAAAACAGGACCTGTTTTTAATCCAAAGTATTCATGTCCTCATCATATACCAATACGAGTATGATAAGAATCTGGGTTGCAGGTATACCTCCAGGATACCCAGGATTGATCTCATCTAGTTTTATCTTAACAGTTTCGTGTATAGGTTTAGTCATTCTTTATTATTGATTTTGTTTGTATTTCGTTCTCCTAGTTCAGTTTCTTGTAGTTTTGTTTCTCCTGGTTTAGTTTCTTGTAGTTTTGTTTCTCCTGGTTCAGTTTCTTGTAGTTTTGTTTCTCCTGGTTCATTTATTTGTAGTTTTGTTTCTCCTGGTTCAGTTTTTGTAGTTTTGTTTCTCATGATTCAGTTTCTTGTAGTTTTGTATCTTCTGGTTCAGTTTCTTGTAGTTTTGTTTCTCCTGGTTCAGTTTCTTGTAGTTTTCTTTCTCCTGGTTCAGTTTCTTGTAATTTTGTTTCTCTTGGTTCAGTTTCTTGTAGTTTTGTTTCTCCTGGTTCAGTTTCTTGTAGTTTTGTTTCTCCTGATTCAGTTTCTTGTAATTTTGTTTCTCCTGGTTCAGTTTCTGATTGTTTTGTTTCTCTTGTAGTTAATGTAGTTTTGCTTCTCTTAATTAAGTTTTCTACAGCTTTTGGTTCTCCTATAGTTTGGTTTCGACTGTTTTGGTTAGTTCTCCTAGTTTAGTTTCTGTTGGTCTGGTTTCTATTAGTTTGGTTTCTACTGGTTTGATTTCTCATAGCTTGTTTTCCACTGGTTGGGCTTCTTCTAGTTTGGTTTTAAATGGTTTGGTTTCTCTTTGTTTTATTTTCTATTAGATGTATTTATTTGTTTTGTGTGTTCCGGTGATGTTTGTACAAGATTTGGGGGTTTATAAAGATTTCTTGGGCTCTAAAACAAGTTTTAATACATTTCCACTTTCTGAACTAATTAAAACAAGTTTAAATAATATTTTTCTGTTTAGTACTTCTTTGAGTTTACTGGGATACTGTTTGGCTACAATGAAGATTTCGACCAGAAATATATTCTAGGAATTCAACCGATTTCATTATTCTTGTTAAAATGTCGTCTTCCGTTTTCTTGGCAGTATTGATTGAAGTGTCAAATCATGGATTATACAATATATGTTTATCAAAAGAAGACCAATACCATGGAAACCAATTATGGAAAAATACCATAAACATTTTCTTGAAAATACCAGGATTAGCATTTTTTTTGTCGACTTAGGAGTGTTTTTTAGATTTAAAGATCTAAAAACATTTTCCAAATAAAATTAACCTCTTTCTGTCAGTTTTTATTCGGTTTAGAGATATATGTTAAAAATTAAAGTCATTAGTTGGTACATTAAAACTATCTGATTCATTTTCTTAGTTGGTATTTGGGACTTAATTTTAACTTTAATTGTTGCTCTTTGAGCGACATTTTTCTTTTTAAATAACCAAACTATGATAGTTTTTTTCGAGGATTTAAAAAAAATTATCTTTCAAAGCAAATTTTTTAAATTCTGACTATCCAAGAACTTTCTCTGTGCTCCTGTAAGGTGTTTAGCCGTTTTGACGTTTATTTTATAAAAACAAACAAGCAAAGTAATATATATAAAAAAATATATTTATAAATATATAGAAAACCCTTAGAACTGAGTTGAATTCTTCGATTAGATTTTCCCGTTGTTTATAACTTTCCCTCCCGGGATACTAAACGTAGATCTCCTAGATCCTCACCAAGGTTGTCCAGGTCGTCAAGATCTCCAAGTTCTCCAACTTCAACTGTTCTTGATGTTATTCATCATGTGCAAAATATGTTCTCCAGGTGACCAAGGATTCATTTTTATTAAAAACTTGAAAAGTTTTTTAAAATTTAAATAAAAAGCATAATACAAGTCTAAGTAAATACGTGATTTAAAATAGATACTATTTACGAATAAAAAAACTCGTGATTTACACGGGAAAATCTGGGAAAATTCAGTTGAAAAACAGTAAAATGACGACTTTAAAAAAATTTCCAATAGTTGTTAAATGACAAAGAGTGAAATTAAATTTTTTGTTTCTTATAAGCTTATCAATTGTGGTTTAATTTCTTGCTTCTTAAAAATCGACGAATTCTTTCGAAAATTTTGTGTTTTATAAATTAAAATCTGGACGAAATTATTAATTTCTCCGTCAATTTAAAAACCCTTAAATGGGAGAGTTTTTCATGTAAATTGTTTTCAGTGATATTATACACTTATCGAAGCAAGTTTAAAAAAGACCATTACACATTAATGGGAGGAAAAGAGGGGGGGGGGGGGGTATAAAAAGAAAAATTGACAAATTGAAAATATGTCAACTTTCTTCGAACAAAATGTTTGTTATCAACGTTCTTATGAAAATGATCTACTACATATCTACGTGACATACGTACGCACAAATAAATAAAAGTATTTTCTTTATTTCATAAAACCTAAATATGATATATTTCTATATATATTATATTTTAAGTGATTCGACACATTCCAACCAATTAACTTCTGTATACTTTAAACTGCCTTATGGTCCCTCCCATCCTATCTTTCTGTCTATCCTGTCTATCCTTCATTTATCATAATCTATTACATCTATTATTGATAAATTATACACCTGGCTAGTTTATTTTTAGGTAGATAGATAGATAGATAGTTAGATTGAGGAATAGAAAGATATATTGTATAGGTTAATAGATATATATGTTTTGTAGATAGATAAATAGATAAATAAATCAATCTTAGAAATTGATCACTAACATATTATACAATATCGTGAATGACATTTTCAGATAAAAAGAAAGAAAGAAGACGACAATCATGCTACTTTTTTAGACATTAAAGAAAGGAATTGAGTCTTTGCAACAAACTCGGATTTTCTAATCGTTATATCTTTTTAACCAAATGTCCCAGACCTTTATTTCAAACTATGAATCATGTTGGATCATATAAATTAGGTTTCAACTATCACAGGTTTACACAATCAAGTTTTAAAGATATGAGGATTAGTAAATCTGTGTTTGTGGCAAAGACTCAATTCCTTTATGTTTTTCTTTTATTCTTTTTCCATTTTTACTTCTAGAAAAACATTTTAAAACTAAATTTAAATTGAATTAAACAGAATTGGAACAGATAATAAAGATAAACATCCAAGTTTATCTCCTTCATCAAAGTTTTAAACAGATAAAAAAGGTGGTTAAATGGATATTTTCTAAAAAGATAAAAAAGGTGGTTAAATGGATATTTTCTAAAAAGATAAAAAATATGGTTAAATGGATATTTACTAAAAAAAATAAAAAAGGTGGTTAAATTAATATTTTTTAAAAAGATAAAAAATATGGTTAAATGGATATTTTCTAAAAAGATAAAAAAGGTGGTTAAATGGATAGTTTCTAAAAAGATAAAAAATATGGTTAAATGGATATTTTCAAAAACTATAAAAAAGGTGGTTAAATGGATATTTTCTAAAAATATAAAAAAGGTTGTTAAATGGATATTTTCTAAAAAGATAAAAAAAGGTTGTTAAATGGATATTTTCTAAAAAGATAAAAAAAGGTGGTTAAATGGATATTTTCTAAAAATATAAAAAAGGTTGTTAAATGGATAGTTTTTAAAAAGTTAAAAAAGGTGGTTAAATGGATATTTACTAAAAAGATAAAAAATATGGTTAACTGAATATTTACTAAAAAGATAAAAAAGGTTGTTAAATGGATAGTTTTTAAAAAGATAAAAAAGATGGTTAAATGGATATTTTCTAAAAAGATAAAAAAAGGCGATTAAATGGAGAGTTTTTATAAAGATAAAAAAGGTGGTTAAATGGATATTTTCTAAAAAGATAAAAAAGGGTTGTTAAATGGATATTTTCTAAAAAGATAAAAAAAGGTGGTTAAATGGATATTTTCTAAAAAGATAAAAAAGGTGGTTAAATGGATATTTTCTAAAAAGATAAAAAAGGTGGTTAAATGGATAGTTTCTAAAAAGATAAAAAAGGTTGTTAAATGGATATTTTTTAAAAAGATAAGAAAGGTGGTTAAATGGATATTTAAAAAAAATAAAAAGGTGGTTAAATGGAATGTTTCAAAACGAGCTCTAACTAACATCCAACAACAATTATTGCGCTTTCCAACTTTTCAAGAAAGAAAAAAAAACAAAAAAAACATAATAAATAAAATGGGTATAGGCTAGCATTGTAATATACTTTTGAACATTCTTTGATTTGGACTGCATGCAAGTAAACAAAATTTTTTGCAGATTTTTTATTTCAAACGGCAAAAAACCTTTCCTGGGGGGAAAAATTAGAAACCCGATCGGTTTAGCTCTTTTGATGTTTTTTCTTTTGATTCGGACTATGATGCAAAGTATATATTAAAAAGGATCTTTTGACCAATTAATATTAATCGTGTGACCGTGTCTAGTTTGAAAGTTTCTTCTTGCAGATATTTTCCATGGAAACTTCTATCGAATTCTAATAATGGTTTGATGTGACACAATGCCTTGTATAAAATTATGAAAAACGAGCAAATTAGAACATATATTTTTGACTGAAGTTACTGTTACTTTGTTTTTATTTAGATGTATTTAGAGTTAGAATCCCCTCTAGCTAGAGGTCCTGATGATATTCTGTTTGGTGGTATTCTAGGCAATCTAGAAATTATTTTTAATGCAACAATCACCTAGAAAATTATCCAGAATTGAAGGAATTATATCGATTGAAGACGCAGAAATCATTTTAAAACCTTTTATTTTATGAAAAAGACTGATTTACAATTTTTAAATAATCCTTTAAAAGAATTTGAAAAGTTATGTAGAAGTTTTACCCATATAGATAAGTTATCAAATTCTCCTGTTGAAAAGTTAGAAAGCGTGTTCTTCTATTTTCTGTTAAGAGATCATTAAAACTTAAATCTTTTACAGTGTACAAGAATACAATTTTATAAATTCATTGTGAGTAATATAATTAAAGAATTAATCTATTCTAAAACATTGTTAAATTGTGACTTATTTTGTTTACAAATATTTGTTAAGAAAAAATTTCTACGATTTGTCTCAGATTTTTATCTGATTCCGTACACTGAGGTTCCAAGGTTTGCTGACCTTAGTAAAATGTTCACACGGTCTCATGTTTTAAGGAACTTAGCCAGATCATTCTAATCTATATATTTTATTATTCTGTTCTGTCAATTTTGAAAAATCAAAATTAAAAGTTTAAAAAAGAAAAGACAAAATATACATTTTCTGGGACTCTCTGTAATAAACTGGAAAAAACCCGTTGTATAAAAAAACTGGTTTAGAAAATAAACTGCAAACTGCATACAGGAAACAATATCATAAGGGGGGGGAGGAGGGGGGCTTAGCCCCCCTATATTAGATAATTCATTGTTTTCCGGGGATTTTACAGGACTATCGAGTGCTGAGCCCACTTGGAAAGAAGAAAAATTAAGCCTCCACCTCCAGAACAAAATTCTGCATTACACCCCTGCTTGTAATAATATTGAGTTCGTAGACCTTTCGGATTCGGATAGAAGTTAGAACCAAAGTGTAGGTCTAGTGCATTCTTAACACCAAATTTTTTTAAAAAGTACAAAAGAAAAATCTACAAAAAACCAGTTGAAAAATGAATACTCACTGCAACTATAAACCTAAGATATCTGAATTACTATGCTCACGGTTACATCTCATCATAATTTAACGTAATTTCAAGCTGCCAATTATTTCATGCGGGCCATTATCAAGCAAGGTTACCCACAAAGACGACAACCCAAAACTCTTTAATTATGAAGATCTGAATGTTATATTTAACCTTCTGCCTCTTAATGTTTTACTTTATGGTTTTGACGTAAAATATTCCTAACAGTCGTCTGTGAAGCTTCATTTGTTTTGAGTAGCCCATATATCAACTATTCTTCCGGAGAAAATGAAATCCGTGACCACAGTGAACAATCCAGTTCATTAGTTTATTATTATCTTGAACACTGATAGTGAAAGTCCCAAGGCAGGATTCGGATTGAGCTTTTTATGAACTTCACTTCACAGCACACATACTAGTTGATTATATTTGAACCCCCTTTTCCTTTACCATCCCACCTTTCAATCCTACTCCATCCCACTTTTCAATTCTACTCTATCCCACCTTTCAATCCTACACCATCCCACCTTTCAATCCTACTCCTTCCCACCTTTCATTCCTACTTCATCCCACTTTTCAATCCTACTCCATCTCACCTTTCAATCCTACTCCATCCCACTTTTCAATCCTATTCCATCCCACTTTTCAATCCTTCTTCATCCCACTTTTCAATCCTACTCCATCCCACCTTTCAATCCTACTCCATCATACACTTTCAATCCTACTCCAGTCCACCTTTCAATCCTACTCCATCCCACCTTTCAATCCTACTCCATTCCACCTTTCAATCCTACTCCATCCCACCTTTCAATCCTACTCCATCATACACTTTCAATCCTACTCTATTCCACCTTTCAATCCTACATCCCACACTTTCAGCCCTACTCCATTCCACCTTTCAATCCTACTCCATCCCACACTTTCAATCCTACTCCATTCCACCTTTCAATCCTACTCCAGACCACCCTTTAATCCTACTCCATCCCATCCTTTCATTCCAAATCCATCCCACCTCAGCCACCCTTTCAATCCAATTGAATCACATTCTGCACTCTGTCAATCCCACTCAAACCCACTCTAACCCATTCCGATCTTTCAATCCCACTCCATTCCATCCTGCACTAAATCAATCCAACTTCCACTCTTTACACTTTCTGTTTCTATCCCTTGTGTTCTGTCAAAAATAGCCTATCTATCTATTTAACTACTTTATACAAGATATTCATGAAACGTATACGCTTACCTAATTTTTAAACGGATGGGTGGTTCCCTGTTGGAGCTACAGTGTGAAAGTATGCGTAATTCAAGAAAGAAAAAGTTAAATAGACAAATAGACAGATATAGAGATAAATTGATTTAGTCATTAGATAAAAGGACAATTAGATAGAAATTAAAAACAACACATTTGATGTATGGACAGATAGATTTAGACAAATCTAGAAAAATGTAAGATTACATACATAGAAACAAACAAAGAAAGAAATAAACGTTTAGATTTTTATGAAGAATTTAATTAATTTATTAAACTAAAATTTAAAGATTTTTATAAAAAAAACATATCATAAATGATAAAACTAGGTACATCTACCTATCTACCTAGATACATCTAGATAGATATATACAATACACAAATAGACAGATAAAAAGAGAGACCGATAACGGATAGACAGATGACAGATAGACAGATAACGGATAGACAGATAACGGATGGACAGATAACGGATAGACAGATGACAGATAGACAGATGAAAGATAGACAGATGACAGATAGACAGATGACAGATAGACAGATAATGGATAGACAGATGACGGATTGACATATCAAAAGATATTTCTCTTGAAGCCGCCGCGGCAGAATATGGATATACATCATACATCGTAAAAAGTATCGTAAAAATATCGGAAAAATTATCGTGAAAATAAAGATATTAAATTTTCTAGTGCAAGATTACGTAATTAGTCTAGTAAGAAGATTTTCCAGCGAAAAGGGAAAGCGTAAAATGTTTTCGCCTGCCAAAAATGTCGCATCTTTTCGCAAGAGTATTTACGCAACATTTTGCATCGTTTTCGCATTTTTTCGGTTAATTCATGTTTTCGGTTAATTCAATTAGCTGAGAATAGTGTGTCGTCACCCCCTCCCTCCCATCCGCAAAAAAATTGAGCTCACTAACTACGAAGTTCTTTACCAAAGGCAGGAGAGATATTTCCCCCTTGAACCCGGGGTTATTAGAAAGCGAGTAAGGGTGTGCAGGTTCGTTTGTAATTTAACCATCCGGTGGCGCCTTAGCTTAAGGACCCGCCCATATGCTCAATATATTCTAGTGCTCCAGGAGAAAATGTAGTCTAGAGAAACCTAGTAGTTGTCTTCGCTTGAAACAATGCAGACCATGGATACTATAAACGTGACAAAGTAGTATAGGAATGTACAAAATAGGGTAGGATAGGACAGGATAGGACAGGATAGGACAGGATAGGACAGGATAGGACAGTATAGGACAGGAAAACACATAATATATCTCAGATAAAATGTTTACGAGTGTTATAATTCTAATATTAGTTTCATTAATCGCTCCAACTCATGTAAACACAACAAGAAGGTAAAACATCTTTTTACTTAAAATAAAATAATTTATGAAAGCTTTCCTTAAATGTTTATTGTTTTGGGGTCAAGTTTTAAAATATCTTATTTTTACAAAGAAAACAATATTTACTTTTGCCATTTTCATTGTCTAAAAGCTCATAAAGGCTTATTCTATATATTTCATTGCCTTTCCTGAAAATTATAGAAAAAGTTAATTATCCATTAAGGTCCGTTTATTTTTATCATTTGAAAAATATCATATACTTTTTTAATCATGACAGCTATGAAGTTTACATATTATTTGGTAATTTCCTAGAGACCGATTTCTGTAACTAATTAACCCTCGTCTGTTTGTAGCTCTGTATTTAACCCTTGTCTGTTTGCAGCTCTGTATTTAACCCTAGTCTGATTGTAGCTCTGTATTTAACCCTCGTCTGTTTGTAGCTCTGTATTTAACCCTCGTCTGTTTGTAGCTCTGTATTTAACCCTCGTCTGTTTGTAGCTCTGTATTTAACCCTGTCTGTTTGTTGCTTGGTTTGTTAATTTACTTCTTCTAAAATAAAGGTCTAACGAATATCGATTAAATTGTTTGAGCCTAATTTGTATGCAGAAAATTGTCGCATTTTTGTAGTTTTATAAGCTCATGAAGAAATACGAGAAAAAACACTATTTTTAATCTGTAATCATGTTCATTATACAATATATTATATAATATCATGTACTGTGGTGTACTTTATTTGTATTAATGTATGAAACGTGCAAAATAAATGTTCTGTTTTTTTAAATTTAAGACCATGTATGGCCGAGCAAATTTATTTTGTTTTTTATGCAAAATATATTCAAAAGTTCTCTGCAAAAGATTTTTGAAAGGTGAAGTTATGATTCAAAACTTAAATGAATTCAATCTAACGAGAAATTTACTTTAGTTTGACGTGATGCTAGTGGGGCAATGTCCCCAGGGACACCCTTTATGTTACAGATGAGTTAGTCAGAACTTTTGTAAATCTCGGGATAAAGCATTGATCTCCAGTTTATGCAGATCATGGATTAATTTATTTCCATTTTAATTCCCCGTGTAGACCATAATCTCCAGGAATAACCAAAATGAAGGATCAAGCAGTGATCTTCACATTTAAAAGAGTCCTTATTGGATATCGAGATCAAGCGTTTAAATTAAAGATACTCTACTCAAAAGTTCTCAACTCAGTATATTTATGCATCGGCATCCTTTTCATTTCTCTCTGATTATGCCTGTTTAATGATTATGCCTGATTAGTGATTATGCCTGATTAATGATTATGCCTGTTTAGTGATTATGCCTGATTAGTGATTATGTCTGATTAGTGATTATGCCTGATTAGTGATTATGCCTGTTTAGTAATTATGCCTGCCGTGTATTGAAAGTCTGATTGTTAAATATTTCAAATCATCTTAAAATTCCTAACAGTGAACCATAGCTTCCATTATACTGGTCTCTTGTGTATTGTATAGTGTAGAGAGCATGTCAGGGTTGTATAGGGACTAATGGAGGGATGACTTGATCAAACCTATTTTCTATAGGTGAGCATTATACACTGCCCAAAGAAGTAGTTTATCACTTTAAAGAATAGGGGGGGGGAGGAGGAGGAAAATCAAAATAAAATGCAAAAAAACTCTTAAGAGTTTGAATTTCTATTTCAAAATCTAACAAAAAAGCTTAAGAGACTTCATATATACTTTATTATCTAAAACGTGTAAAATGGTAAAAACGAAAAATCTACATTTAATATGTAAAATGTCTTTCTAAAACTTTAAATAAGGACAGTTGACTTAATTTGAGATGTTAACCTACATCTTCTTCAGCTCCTCTTGGTCCTTTCATGTCCTTTCATGTCCTTTCATGTCGAATTGGAATGTTGATGGCTTCGGGGGAAAGTTTTTCAAAAAAATAATAAT